ACAGGAAACACGTCGTCTTGCACTTGTCACACTGCCGCTCGTCGTCGGGCAGCAGCTCGAAGGCCTCGCGCTCCGCCTCCGTGATGCCCTGGGGGACCAAAAAATAGACATCAGAACCCCCCCCGTGGGGATTTTGGGGGGCCCCCAGCACCCCCAATCCCTCCAGGATCCCTTGACTGGAAAAAAAAATCTGTCAGATCCCTCCCTGCATTCCTGCTCTGCCTCTGTGATGCCCTGGGGGGACCAAAAAATGGACATCAGAACCCCCCCGTGGGGATTTTGGGGGGCCCCCGGCACCCCCAATCCGTCTATAATCTCCTAGAGGAGAAAACACAACCCTCACCCCTTCCCCAGAGATTTTGGGGTGCCCAACACCCCCAAAAACCCCCTAAGGGAGGCACAAACACAACCCTCACCCCCTCCCCAGCACTTTTGGGGTGCTCAACACCCCCAAAAACCCCCTAAGGGTGGCACAAACACAACCCTCACCCCCTCCCCAGCACTTTTGGGGTGCTCAACACCCCCATAACCCCCTAAGGGTGGCACAAACAAAACCTTCACCCCCTCCCCAGAGATTTTGGGGTGCCCAACACCCCCAAAAACCCCTGAAGGAGTCACAAACACAACCCGCACCCCCTCCCCAGATTTTTTGAGGTGCTCAACACCCCCATAACCCCCCAAGGATGGCACAAACACAACCCTCACCCCCTCGCCAGAGATTTTGGGGTGCCCAACACCCCCATAACCCCCTAAGGGTGGCACAAACACAACCCTCACCCCTTCCCCAGAGATTCTGGGGTGCCCAACACACCCATACCCTCCCGAGGGTGACACAAACACAACCCTCACCCCCTCCCCAAATATTCTGGGGTGCCCAACACCCCTGTAACCTCCTAGAGGGGCACAAACACAACCCTCACCCTCTCCCCAGAGATTTTGGGGTGCCCAAGACCCCCATAACCCCCCAAGGGTGGCACAAACACAACCCTCACCCCTTCCCCAGAGATTTTGGGGTGCCAAACACCCCCAAAAACCCCTGAAGGAGTCACAAACACAACCCTCACCCCCTCCCCAGATATTTTGGGGTGCCAAACACCCCCAAAACCCCTGAAGGAGTCACAAACACAACCCTCACCCTCTCCCCAGAGATTTTGGGGTGCCCAAGACCCCCAAAAACCCCCTGAAGGAGTCACAAACACAACCCTCACCCCCTCCCCAGAGATTTTGGGGTGCCCAAGACCCCCATAACCCCCCAAGGGTGGCACAAACACAACCCTCACCCCCTCCCCAGAGATTTTGGGGTGCCCAACACCCCCATAACCCCCTAAGGGAGGCACAAACACAACCCTCACCCCTTCCCCAGAGATTCTGGGGTGCCCAACACCCCCAAAAACCCCCTGAAGGAGTCACAAACACAACCCTCACCCCCTCCCCAGAGATTTTGGGGTGCCCAACACCTCCAAAAACCCCCTGAAGGAGTCACAAACACAACCCTCACCCCTTCCCCAGATATTTCGGGGTACCCCCAACCCCTCCATCACCCCCCTGAGCGCGACACAACCCCACCCCTTCCACTCCCCCCTGCCCATCCCCACCCCTGCACATCTCGGGGCGCCCCCCCACCCCCCGATTTTGGGGGTGCCCCCACCTTCTCCAGCAGGGCCTTGCGCAGCTTGCGCTCCTCCTGCACCAGCACGAACATCTCCTTGTGCACGGCGGCCGCCAGGTTCAGGTCCAGCTTCTCGGGGCTCGCGGCCATCTTGCAGATCAGCTCCTCGTGCGAGAAGACGCAGTAGCGGCGCAGGCGGCGGTAGTGCTCGATGCACTGCCTGCCCGCGGGGAGCTGGAAGGGATTGAGGGGTCAGGGGGGTCCCCAAAATCTGGGGGGATCCCCAAAATCTGGGGGGACCCCTAAATGTAACCCTGAACTCGGCTGGGTACCCCCAGGGGTGAGCCCTCAAACTGGGAACCTTCAAACTGGGAACCCCCAAACTGGGAACGGAGTGCCTGAACTGGGCAGTGCTCAATGCACTGCCTGCCCGCGGGGAGCTGGAGGCGATTGAGGGGTCAGGGGGGTCCCCAAAATCTGGGGGGACTCCTAAATGTAACCCTGAACCCGGCTGGGCTGAGCCCCCAAACTGGGAACCATCAAACTGGGAACTGAATCCCTGAACTGGGCAGTGCTCGATGCACTGCCTGCCCGCGGGGAGCTGGAGGCGATTGGGGGGTCAGGGGGGTCCCCAAAATCTGGGGGGATCCCCAAAATCTGGGGGGATCCCTAAATGTAACCCTGAACCCAGCTGGGTACCCCCAGTGTTGAGCCCTGAAACTGGGAACTGAGTCCCTGAACTGGGCACTGCTCGATGCACTGCCTGCCCGCGGGGAGCTGGAGGCGATTGGGGGGGTCAGGGGGGTCCCCAAAATCTGGGGGGACCCCTAAATGTAACCCTGAACCCGGCTGGGCTGAGCCCCCAAACTGGGAACCCTCAAACTGGGAACCAAGTCCCTGAACTGGGCAGTGCTCGATGCACTGGAGGGAGCTGGAAGGGATTGGGGGGTCAGGGGGGTCCCCAAAATCTGGGGGGATCCCCAAAATCTGGGGGGACCCCTAAATGTAACCCTGAACCCGGCTGGGTACCCCCAGGGGTGAGCCCCCAAACTGGGAACCTTCAAACTGGGAACCCCCAAACTGGGAACCAAGTCCCTGAACTGGGCAGTGCTCGATGCATTGGAGGGAGCTGGAAGGGATGGGGGGGGTCAGGGGGACCCCCAAAATCTGGGGGGATCCCCAAAATCTGGGGGGACCCCTAAACACAGCCCTGACCAGAGCTGGGCACCCCCAAACCTGACGCACCCCAAACCCTGCACCCCAAAACCCAGCCTGGAGTTTCTGGGCGTTCCCTTCAGGGCTTTTTTCCCTTCCTTTTGTTGCAGATTTTAATTGTTTCCCTTGAAATTTTTGGGTTTTTCATTCCTCCAGGGTTTTTTTTTTTAATCTGGATATTCTGTGTGCCCCCCCAGGTATTTTTGTGTCCCCTAAGTACATTTCCTGCCCCCCAGCAACATTTTCTCCCCCCTTAGGTACATTTTCTACCCCCAGCTACATTTCCTCCCCCCAGCTACATTTTCTCCCCACCTCGGTACATTTTCTACCCCCTTAGATATATTTCCTGCCCACCTAGGTACCTTTCCTGCCCCCCAAGTACATTTTCTACCCCCTTAGGTACATTTTCTGCCCCTCCAGCTACATTTTCTACCCCCCACCTACATTTTCTACCCCCATTAGGTACATTTCCTGCCCACCTAGGTATATTTTCTGCCCCCTTAGGTACATTTTCTCTCCCTCCAGCTACATTTTCTACCCCCTTAGGTATCTTTCCTGCCTCTGTAGGTACATTTTCTGCCCCCAGATACATTTTCTCCCCCCTTAGGTACATTTTCTGCTCCCCCAGCTACATTTTCTCCCCCCTTAGGTACATTTTCTGCCCCTCCAGCTACATTTTCTACCCCCTTAGCTACATTTTCTCCCCACCTAGGTACCATTTTCTACCCCCTTAGATATATTTCCTGTCCACCTAGGTACCTTTCCTGCCCCCCA